TAGATGTTCCTACTACTTTCATTCCTTTTGCCCTAATTGTTCTACTTTCTTGAAGATTTCCTCTATTTTGTCTTCTACCCTTCCTACTAAAGGATTCTTTAAAGTTAATTTTAAATTTCTGCTGTCATATATTTTAGTTAAAATTTTATTTTAAAAAAAGGCAATCTAATTTAGATAATCATTATCTTTTCTTTCTGAAGACATTGATAAGTGTTTTACTAGTATAGTTTTCTTCTGTTCTGAGCACTGCCTTTATTTCTCCAAGTTCCTTTCTTCATTTGCTTTTTCTGTATCTTTGTCTTTCATGTTAGAGATGTTCTTCGAATGTCTGGTGATCCTTGGATGTTCATGTCTATTTCACTGTGTGTCCAAAAAAAAAAGCACACGCAGGAACCTTCACTGTGGGGTGATCTGGTAGGGAGCCAGGTGCTATGTTTGGGAACCCCCAAACATGAGTGTCTGTAGGTATCTTCTCCTGGGTCTGTTTCCTCAGAGAGGAGTATTCTCGTCTGCTCCTGGACTGTGGGGCCGGGTGGGTTCTAAGCTTGACAGCTAAGAACTCTGAGGCAGTCTGAGTCTCGAAGCTCAGCAGGCGTGTGTTCTTTAAGGCTCTTCATCTATTTTCAGCTTCGACTAGTGACCTCACTTCCGGTGCTTCTCTGACTCACCCTCTCCTCACAGTACCTCCCATCTTCTGTGGACAGGCGGAGGAGAGGTCACCTGCCCACATGAGCTGGACAAGGGGTCTAACCTCTCCTAATAACAGACTTTCAAACACAGCTGTTTTCCCAGCCATACTCCTGCCATCTGAGGTGTCTGGTGTCTCGAATTTCCAAGCCTTTCTTAGGGTTCATAGCAAAATCCCTAGGCCACTCAGCAGAGGAAACAGAAACCTATCAGTTATTTCTCAGGATGGATCAGGCTCTGCTCTGGTAACAAACCACTAACCTCCCCCTCTCCTCCCCACGTTGATTCCTCTCTCACACTGCCCATCCGCAGGGTCAGCAGGGATCCCAGCTCGTCAGGGTCACTCAGGACTCAGGCTGATAGAGGCTCTGAGTCTTGTGACCTGAGGCTTCAGGGGTAGAGCTCTGCTCACTGCTCCTATTTCATGGGCCAGGCCTAACGTCTAGGGAACAAATGTACACATACAAAACCTTAATAAAAAAATAAAAAATAAAAAAAGGAAGGAGGGTACAGTCCTCCCTGTGCTCAGCAGAAGAGGACAACTGGAAATACTGGGGAGCACCAATGTTCCCAAATTTTGTTGTTCTCAGCTGCTGCTGTTTCCTCTGCCTCATGGTGCTTGTGGTTTTACATATTTTTATTATTTTACTACCATTTTAGTGTAGCTTTAAGAGGGAGCGGAATTAAACACGATTTCAAGCTGCAGAACACACCAAAGTATCCAACACCATCCAATTAGTACTGTGCACTGCTACCCCCCATTTCTCTGATCCTACCAGGACTCTGTTCTCTCCTTTGTTGCCTAGAAAGAGATGGCTAGGCAGTGGAACTTTTCAGAACTGGGCATTCATTAACGATATTTTTCAAGAAGGGCCTTGGGACGCAGTTTTCAAACACATAGCTGGAACAGAGAAAGTCTTTACCAGAAGCAAAGGATTAATACGTATTTTTTAAAATTTTCAGCAAACAACTATTTTCCCTCATGCCGAACATCTCCTATGTGTTCAGTAAGTTCTCGCTAATGAGCAATCCTCTCTTTGCATCTGTACAGGTCATCGGCAAGCACATGCCAGCTTGTGCCAAGTGAAGAGGAAAATGCTCAAGTTCCTAGGGAATTAAAAGTCCCGTTAAACGCAGCTTGAGCTATCAGCAGTTATCTCTGACAAGTGGTAATACAGGTGTTTTTCCATGGGCTTCCGTATAGCTTCTGGTCATACCAATTGGAGAAGGCACTGCTTTTGGAATAAGAATTGCGGGGCTACTTCCCCAGGTTTGCTGGCCATAACCACAGCAGGGCGGCCCTTTCTGTTAAAACCGCACCTGTGCTAATGAAAGGTAGTCAGGTCTCAAACCCACCGCTATTATATGGGGAAACTGCCCAAAGAATACTTTTCTTGAAATTTAAGTAAATGATTCTTAATCTTTTATATGCTTAAGAACCGCAGGGAGAATTTACAAAACGATATAACACCAAGTCAGAAAACAAACAAAAACCCCAAATCCCAGCTCACTGGGCTCCACTTAGGTAATCTGGTTTGGAAGGGAAAGGCAGTGATTTAACAAGTCCTCCTGGACAGACGTCAGACCAGACTGCTTTTAATAGTGCCCCCCATTTTCTACCTGGAATGAGTATGCAGTAAATATTTCTTTCTTTCTTTCTTTTTTATTAAATTATTAGCTGTGTACATATTTTACCATTGCAGTAAATATTTCTTGATGCTGAGGGGAAATCAACAGGATGTGTATATATCTACCATCTTTCCCCCCTCCAATAATATCATCAAAGAAGTAGCAAATGAAGGTATTTCCCATAAAAAAAAAAAAAAAACATGACAGATGAAGCACAATACACAAATTTAAGTGGCTTACAACTGACTGGTGGGATATTTTAAGGCTCAGGTTTTGGGATTTGCTTGGTATTAACTACTCATAACCCAGTAAGCCTTACCAACTTCTTAACATCAAGCCTAATTTCTGACAATATGGGTTTCTAAAGCATCGCCTGATATTCCATAATTAATTCTACCTTTGGAATGAAGGAGAGGATTAAGTGGTTATCTACAATAATAAAAGTATAACATGCTAATTAGATCAGATGAAGGACATCCTTCTGGACGGCCTTCTGGGCGAAGCCGAAGCAGTAGCTGAGGCAGAGGGGCCACCACAGCAGCGGGAGCCTAGCCCCTTGAATGAATTTCATGCATCGGGCCTCTAGTCTTAGTATAGATGGACAGAAGGAAGACAGCCCCGGCCCTGCCTGAGTGCAGGCTGTGCTGAGGGTTCATCATCAGGCTGCAGGGACAACACGGTTTTGCTGGTCATTTTTAAGAGTTGGTGCATGTGGGAAAGCTGAAGGAGGAGGCCAGTATCTGGACTTAACGCTCCTGCAGCTCTTCCCAAGTTTCTAAAAGAAGGTAGAACCCAGCTTCTTGCCAGCTCCCTACTTTTGAAAACCTGCTCCGTTTCCACTTCATCTGCAAAATGCTTGCTGTAGCCCCTCCCTCCTAGCCAAGAGGAACCTGGAAATGCTGGAGGTCAAACACACGTCAGCACCCCTGTTTTGAACCTTTCGGATGTGAAGTCTGGAAAATGGTAGAGAGATACAGGACATCATGGAACTAGCTGACCCAATGCTGCCCCCTTGCTGTGGGGTGAGCACGAAGATCTTTTCCTACAGGTTCCCAGCCTTCCCTTAAAGGCGCAGGAGACTTAATCAGCAAATGTTGACTGTTACTAAAAGAGGTGGCGTAGGGAGCCATACCTCTCTGACCTGCAGAGCCCTTTCCATACAAGTAAAAGGAACAGCTCCCAATAATGGTTTCTCACTCCAAAGGGTATCCTGAGAAACAGCCTAGCGCACTCAAAACATGAAGAACTAAATGAAATTGAATTTAACCTCCTGACCCTTCTTTTTACTCCAACTCCCATTTTAAATGAAATTGCTTAAAAAATGTTCAGGAGAATGGAAAGTGAGTGTCGGAGCAGAAAGGAGATCTTTATAGCTAGGAAGTGGGGCAAAGGTTAGTCTTCTTGGTTTATTTTGAATAAAAAATTGTGACACCCAAGCTTGCCATGTTATCAAATGTCTTAGGTTATTTCAAAAAATGGAAAGTAAAATGTCAACATGGACAGCAATAGCTTTTGGTAGCTCTTCACAAAGAAGCACAATTTGGTTTAAAACTAAAAGCACGTCTTCTGTGAGGTGAGAAGGACACCCTGGTGCCTTAATTTAAGCACTTGCTGAAAGCCACAGTGAGGAACTGGTGGGTGAAAACTCCTGGCAGGAACGGCCTCCAAAATCTTTCCTCTGAGGAGGCTGCACTCTCTGTGCCAAACCTGCCCGAGGTTGTTTTCAATCAGTGGTTCCCAAACTGTGGTTCTGGGACCAGCGGATCAGCCTCACCTGGGAACTTGTTAGTGACCACGTTGAACTTCACCTGAGCCCTGTGAACAGCAAAAGTTAGGGGTCCCCCACCAGAGTGTTTTGGAAACAGCTTAGTACGAAGAACTCCTATGACTTAGTTAAGACTCACTCGCAGGTGCCTCCCTGTTTGCTGGTACCTGTGACAAAGTCAGACACAGACTTCCACACTCCCACTGACAGGAGATCAGCTGAAGTCTGGATTCATCAGAACAAAATGCCTATAAACCAATCTTTGATTAAGCTTCCCTCCTTTCTCCAGGTCCTTGAATGCTGGCTAGTCAACAACCCCTCAACAACAACCTCTCAGGTTAAACCATTTTCTCATCTGCCATGCTTTCTGCCCACTTCCTCATACCCATCCTTTCCAGCATTGATTACTCTTCCCAATAAAATAAACTCCCTTTTTTCCAAACCCTAGGGTCTCCTGCAGAGCTCCCAGTCAGAGATTACCCTATTGCTAATTCTACCTCCCACGTCCCCCTTTACAATAGTACTTTTCTCCCATTTGCAATACATCTTTCCAGTAAAGGCTTTCCTCATTCAACCAGGACAACAAATGTTCAGACCCCACCCCAAACCTCTAAATGAGAAAGAAGGGCGGGGAGGGTATGAGTGGGGGCGGATGCGCCTAGAAATCCATTTCTGAACCAGGGTTCCTTCCAGGAGCAGTCTGAGAACCACTGGTTGCCAGCATTCCCTCTGAGATCTGATAAGCTCATCTAACACTTGAACTCCCAACCACCTGTGTTTCCCTGGCGCGTAAGTGCAAGCTGTTTTGAGGCTTACAGTGGACACATTTTAGCATCCCCACAGACCATTTATCCCCCAGTCATTCCCCCAATGACAAACACGGCCACACCCCTCCCCTCCCGCTGCCGCGAGTACTTACATCTCCATCCCCCGGCCTCTGGTCCTCGCAGTCTCTGGTGGGGCTAATGTCCTGGCGCATGACCCAGATGGGCTCTTTGGGCTCGTCGGGGGTGTAAGGCGAACGGATGGTCCTGGTTTTCACCTCCTCGATGGCCTCCTTGATGTCCTTGATGGCCAGCGAGATGGCATCCCTCTTCTCCTTGCTGTACCGCTGCACGGCCTCGCCCACCACCACGGTGCCCGCCGCCGCCCGCTGCTGCTGCTGCTGCTGCCCAGGCGGGGCTGGCGGCCCGGGGCTGTCGGGGTGGCCGCCGCCGCCGCCGCCGCCGGGGGTGGAGGCGCGCTCCAGGTCCTGCTCGGCCTCCGGCATGTCCTCGGCCGCCTTGTCGAGGCTCTGCGAGCTCATGCTCTGCTTGACCTCGGCCACGATCTGGTCGATGTCCTCCTCCTGCTCGTAGCTGTCCATGCGCGGGTAAGGGGCGAACTCGGCCTCCTTCTCGGGGCTGTCGGACTCGCCGTCCGAGCGCTCGTCGTAGTGGTGCAGCCGCGCGCCCAGGGCCTCCTGGCGGTACGCGGCGGCCTCCGCGTCGTCGCGCGCGTCCAGCTCGGGCGCGTCCCCGATCTCCTCGTACACGTGCTCCTGCAGGCCGCCATAGTCTGCATAGGGCTCGGCGTAGGGCTCGTCCTCGCCGCCGCCGCCGCCGCCGCGGTGGAACAGCCGGTGCGCGTACACGTAGCCCGAGTAGGCCGCGCTCACCGCCTCCTCGTGCTCCCGCGAGTGGAAGTGCAGGTGGTTGGGCAGCAGCGCCAGGCGGTGCGTGGCCTCGGCGTGCTCGGCCTCCGCCTGCTCCGTGTACTCCTCGGCCTCGGGCCGGTACTGCACGGCGTAGGCGCTCTCGTCCTCGGGGTCCGGCGTGCGCTCCGGGTCACCATCGCCGCCACCGTCGCCATCGCCTTCGCCATCGCGGGCCGCTGCGATCACGTCGCCCTCAGCCGTGTCCGTGTGGTTGTGGAAGCCGCTCTCCGTGCTGGCCGAGCGCGCCAGGCACTCCCCGCGCTCCTCTTCCTCCGGAGGAGGAAGCCCCCCGGGCTGGGCGCGGGGGTCTTCGACGGCGGTGAGCGCGCGCCGGGGCCGGCCCGCATGGTACTGCCGCTGCGGCTGCTGCGGCTGCTGCTCCTCCTCCACCTCCGGGCGCTCCAGGTCGGCCTCCACCGACTCGTTCACCTCCCCGCCTGCCGCCTCGTCGGTCACCTCCACCTCCTCCGCGGCCCCCTCCAAGGGGTTCATGGTGGGCGTCGTCGGGGACGGCTGCGAGAGAGGCTGGGCCGGCTCACTGCGCGCTCATGGTGCTTCGCCCGCCTGGAGAGACAAGAAGGGAAAGGAGGGGGCGTTAAGGGGTGTGGGCTGTAAGTCCTTAGCGGAGCACCAAGGTGACCAGAAACACAGCTGCAATCGATCCCTTCCGAATCTGGGTTAATTAAAAAAAAAAAAAAAGAAAGAAAGAAAAGAAAAGAAAAAAAAGATTGCAGATGTAAGCTCATTCTGACAGCACCTAGTTCGTTTTCTGGGTTTCCCGTAATTTCTAATTACATATCCACTTGTTTAATTGCTTCCTGGCTGCTCGCTCTCCCTCCCCCACCCCTGCAACCGAGGGCCTCCTGCACCTTTGTTCTCCAGGAGGCTAACTTCAGGTGCCATTTCTGATGCAGATGAATGGGGAGTGCTGCTAACTTGAATGGGCCGACTGACACATTTTTCTATCTATCTGCTAAACCTCTTTAACCTAGGATCCTAAGTAACCTTAGAAATGATTCTTTAAATAAATGTCAAAGGGAAAAAAAAATCTCAAAATGTTTCGAAGCCATGGCTATCAGTGCAAACAGGCAGCCCATCTGAGGGAGGCCATCCACCACCGTGGGTTCTCCTCCTGCTATTCCCGGCGGCCACTCCCACGAATGGCTTCATTCTCTGGTCCTCCATCCACTAGGAGAATGGACTCGTTTCCTAGAGCAGGATGTGAACGGCTGTTACACAGGGAACAGAGGCTCCCTGGTCAAATACGTTTGGGGAATGCTGACTTACTAGTCGAGTTGCCGTTTCGTTGTGAATCTTCAAGGGGATGGAGACACAGGATTCAGCATTTCTCAGTCTTATTCGACTAGGAAACATTTTCTCCCCCTAGAGGCCAGAGCTCTGACAAATACACTTAAAGAGACACCGACTAGCTCACTTCCCCCACACACTCTGGATCTAAAATTCCATGATTTACTAAATATTATAGCCAGAACTGGGTAATATGGCCAATCTCTTTACCCGTTTCCACCAGAGAACAGGGACTATGGATTAGGTATAAGAGCGCGTTCCGAAAGCGAGTGTGAGTCTCCATTCGGACTTTGATGGATGGTTAATGCTCTGAACAGAAGAGGCCAGTATTAGCGCTGGGGGCCCCCTGGTTAAGTGGCCTCCAGTGAGTGGGTCATGGAAAATACAAAACAGATATTCAACTCAGTACAACACATGGACAAGAACACTACCCATGCTTCCTTCATAAGGACTCTGAAAAAGACAACCGATTAAAAACTCTCTTATGTACAAACTAAGTCTGATGGGCACAAAACAAGGGTTCTCAGAGGGATACTAAGCATACCAAACACTCCCCTGGGTACTGTTCCTCTGTGCTGGGTCAGCTCTGGGTGGTTAGTGTTAGAAATACAGAAACAGCCATCCGAAGCACCTGGATGGCCAACAATTCATGATATTCAACATATGGAACTGACCAAATCACTCTCTTCAGTGAAAATAGGTTTTTCTATTTTATATGCATTAAAAAGAAATTTCAGTTTATTCTACATTATAACTTTATTTGACCAATGAATGGTGCCCTCTCTTAGCACATGTATTGATTCAAAGGAAATGAAATTTCTACGCAAGTGCACACACTACATCATAGCAAGGAACGTTGTAAGAAGCCCATCCTTTTGGCGGGGGGGGGGGGGGGGGGCGGGGAATACTGTTACAATAATGCAGTCTGGTAATGGGGAGCTTTATATTCACCGAGTACATTTTCCTTATATCCCCTCCCAGGCCTCAGGGGAGTATTTATGCACAGAGTGCTTATATTTCACTTATTGCCATGGTTTCAAGAATAAAGTTTGGGCTGTGGTATTGCCAACATTTTAATTAATAACAGGTATTTACTTGAGGAGCTTCCCTAGAACAAACGCAACTAGCAACGTTTAAAGACGGAGCTGACATTGGTGATCATGTCCATAGGTAGCACACAAGAGAATTGTTCCCCACATCCTGGCAATTTTTTGGGTAGTATCTATAAAAGAATACTAAAGCTGATTTTAAAGAATCCAAAAATATTTAGAGAATCCTATCTAATAAAAGAGTAATATGCAAAAATGACTGTCACTCCAACACACAAGATGGCTGTCCCCATGTGGGCACAAGACGGCTGCCACAAGATGGCCAGCAGGGGAAGGCAATTGGAAGGGATCAGGCCTGCAAGGGAGGGCAGTTGTGGGTAATCAAGCCTGCAGGGGAGAGCAGTTAGGGGTGAGCAGGCCAGCAGAGGGGGGAAACTGGGGGCAACCAGGCCTGAAAGGGAGGGCAGTTGTGGATGACCATGCCAGCAGGGGAGGACAGTTGGGAGGGACCAGGCCTGCAGGGGAGGGCCATTAGGGCTGACTAGGCTGGCAGGGGAGGACAGTTAAGGGCAATTAGGCTGGCAGGGGAGCAGTTAGGCATCAATCAGGCTGGCAGGCAGAAGTGGATAGGGACAATCAAGAAGGCAGGTAGGTGAGCAGTTGGGAGCCAGCAATCCTGGATTGTGAGAGGGATGTCACAATTTGGCAAGATGAGTTAAAATCTAACCCGTGGTCCCAGCCCTCCAGGGCAGACTCTTTAGTAATTATAATACCTGGTGATTAGTGTAAAGTAGAAATAGGTTCAAGTTACCAAAGGAGCCTAGAGTTAAAACAACAACAATTGCATCACCTTTGTGAGTCACATAAGTGCTGCTGTTCATACAGGTCCTGCACTTTGTGAGTTCATAAGCATCCTAGGGCCTAAAGCCTACGAGAGGAGTGCCATCATCCAATCAATGTCCTTAATGATGACCCCTGTGCCTCTGGAGGCTGAGAGAGCAGGAGGAGGAGCAGCTGGTCAAAGAAAATTCCTCCGCCTCTACCAATGCTGGCTGACCTGAAGTACACAGGCAAGGCAGCCCCCTCAGCAGGAGTCCCTCCACAACAAGGAGAGGGGGTGGCATCTTGGCTGCAGGAGAGAGGGAATCCAGGCTGCCAGTAGTGAAGCATAGGTGGCTTTCTGACCCCTGGTTCTGGAATGTTCCACAGCTGACTGGAAAAGGGGGACAAAGGGCGGGAACGCCACTGCAGTGTACCATTTAGATATAAAACATTCCACAATTCAGCAGTTGAATCCAGGTGTCTAATAATGTTAGATGAGGTTCGTGTTGGTTTGGACCTAGTAGGAGGAAAGGCTGTAAATGACTTTGGTTGGTCTGTCCTTAAGTAGTCACTGATAAGAATTTCCAGTAAATCCTCCCTTTTAACACATTGAGAAGTAGTTTTAGAAGAAGGATCATACTGAAGACAAAGTGCAATGTTAAAAAACACACACACACACACACACAAAACAAAAGGAATTATACCAGGTGGTGAGGCCGAAGGGTATTGTGTTGGTGGGTGTGGGAGTTGCGGGGTGGAGATAATGCAGGTGTAGGGGAAAACAGGAAGGTAGAGGGCGGAGAAGTGGGAGAAGAAGACTCCCAGCTCTCCTCTCTCCTGAAAAAAACTTGGATGAACATGATTCCATTTACATAAGTATTCATTCTTTTGCATATATTTAAGAAGTACAATTACTTCCCATGGACTTAATGAATGGTCCTCATCTCCTCCCAGTAGAGTTGGAAGGAAAGTCCTATTTCTTGAGACTGCTGCCTATTCTATTCCACCTGCACACATACTGTTCCAGGCAACAGGACATCTGCCACCAAGCCATCGGAGAGGGCTGCCCATGACACAGAGACTGCGGTGATATGTTAATTTCCATAGCAATAAACAGTTGGGGTTGCCAAATAAGATTATACCCTGGGTGTAGTGTACACACACACACACACACACATACACACAATCTGCATAGGCTAGAATATTAATGGTTCTCGTTTAAAAAAAAAAAAAAAGAAAAGGATGACAGCATAAGAACATCCAGATATTCTTATCTATATTCCCTACCCTATAAATATGGTTTTTTTTCCAGGAGGTAGATCAATTGAGAAACATCTACAGGGAATCCAGGGGACATCACTCAAATCATCAGTTCTTCTAAACATAGTGCATCTATTAACAAGAAAGAATAACACAGTTCATTACAGCTTAACCTCCTTTGATTCGTTTGGAAGTTAAATTCAGTGATACTGGATGGGACCCAAGGTGGATACAGAACACACATTACTCCTCCTTAAAATCATTTTCCATTTAAATTGGTTCACACAGTCAGAAAAAACCCTCCTCACACAGAACATCTTGCCTCAGCAAAACGGAATTTCATTTCCCCTAATATGCTTTGTGCCTGAAACTATCAAGCCATGCTAGTATTGGTGATAGTTTCAGAGTAAGTTGATTTCCTGGACCCAAGAAATGTTGCTGAATGACTAGATGTCAACCTGAGGGAGGGCTCTGTCCTTGGCCCTAGCCCACTTGGATGAAGATGTGTGAGCTGGCCACCTTCATTTCCCCCTCCAGATCCACTCGGTACCTTCTCCACCCTGCTCTGTGCCTCTTTGGGCTGCCTCAAGAGGCACAGAGCTTCAGTTTGGGTTTGGCCCAATGGGGAGCTCTGCTGGGACATTAGAGAAAGGGAGGAGACTGAGGATGGGATATTTATTCTCCCAGTTCCCTCCCTACAGGGTTATCTCAGGCCCTAACCCGGTTTGGCTCCATGGATAGAGCGTTGGCCTGCGGACTCAAGAGGCCCAGGTTCGATTCTGGTCAAGGCATGTATCTTGCTTGTGGGCACATACCCAATAGATATGTGTGCAGGGAGTGTGCGGGAGGCTGCTGATTGATGCTTCTTTCTCATCGATGTTTCTAACTCTCTATCCCTCTCCCTTCCTCTCTGTAAAAAAAATAAATAAAAAATCAATTAAAAAAATATTGTCTCAGGCTGGCAATGTCCCTAATCTGGAAGGCATAGCCCCTGTCAAAAGGTCCCTCTCTACATGGTTTCACTTGATAGCACCCCCCCCCCTTTCAGGCTTA